ATTTATCTCCACGAAATTGTAAAGATATTCATAATATTTCCTAAGAAATTTTTACTAAATAGGATGCTAATAAGAAATATTTATACTAATAGAATTAAGAACTAATACTACGAGTACAAATAATAAAACGAAATCGTTATAAGAATAAAAATCTTAAAAAGTTACTAAAACAATAATAATAGTCCTTATAGTACAGTAGTTTGATATTTAGTAAATTATGATTCCTAATCTATTTATGTATTCTAGAGATAGTTCATTGCGCATCAACATGTATCTCTAATATCATTGTCTACTATTAAAATTTTGAGTCTCTAATGTGAATATTACCTTAGTTCATTGCGCATCAACATGTATCTCTAATATCATTGTCTACTATTAAAATTTTGAGTCTCTAATGTGAATATTACCTTGCTTGGTTGGTTTGCTAATTAAAACTAATTCTTCTTTGACAGGTGGGTTCAGATTCCTTTCAAGGTGCTGGTGCGCCAATAATGTTTCAGGCTATGAGACGCATTATTAGTTCCTTAGCTAGGGAGCAGGTCTATGAAAATACTTTTGATCGTGCTATTCGTCAATCTTTTCTAGGTATGCTTAAATTTGAAACTGTTTCCATCATGGCATAATTGGAACTTTTGCAGTTGCATTCTTAATGCTGTTCTGCTTTACATTTCTTGATAAATAAGAGTTTTTGTGCAGTCATTCTTATCAATTTAATCAGAAACGGTTGAAGTACATGGAAATCTTACCAATAGATGCCTGAAAAAAACCACTAATAATTATTCAACAAGATTAAGCTATTAAGGACTTTGGGAAAAGATGCAAAAATTGAAGAACTAGATAAACATGCTCAATGATGAAGCTTTAGAACTAAATCTTGATCTTATGCAGTGAAGATGATTGCTTTGTTAAATTGATCTGTTTCTCTGGTTTCACAAACTAGATGTCGAACATAATGATACAACTGTCCACACTATGTCTAAGCAACTCCATTCTGGTTTACCCAAGTGTGCTCTCTGGATAACTCAGAATATACCAAACTTTATCCTGCTAGCAGTAAGATACCAAAGCAAATTAG